AACATCCCTTAATGACTATTGCTTGGATGTTTTACCTTTGTGATTTTTATACTACCTTTTTACTAATAACTAACTAATGTATTTAAAAATGTACATGAGATATATGAAGTAATATGAGAAATATGTGATACATGAAGTGAGATCATGTGTATGTTATTGCATCGAGTTAGTCTGACATGCATCAATGACATAAAATATGTTTTTGGGGTATAATGTGGAATACACCGGTAAGAAAGGTCCTTTTTGTAAAATTTTGGGAATCAACCTTAGGGATAACTCAATTTGGAATGTCTTAGTCCTATTATCATGTGCATGGGATATATCTTATACGATTTAGCTATCTCAACCATACTCTGGTAATATGTCCTCTTATTGCGAGTGTGCAAAGAGTGTGACCCAACATGCACTCCTATACTACTCTACGTGTATTGTTAGTGGCAATGGACAAATGTAATGTTTTTACTAATGTCAAATACATGATAACATGTATTCCGTGTCCATTGCATATGCATTATAGTGTTAACTGTTATTATTTATTATGTCATGAATAAACCAAACATGATAATGATATTGTATGTGTATGTTATGTCATATCTTGTCGTATGTCTTATTTGTGTTTGATTATCCGATTTGCATTTCTACACCATGAGTCAAAGTGAGATATTTCTTACACCCTTTTTATATTTATTGTTGCTCTTATGTTTATTTTGCAAGTGATGATCAATATGATGCTGAAAAATGTTGGTGATGAGGTTTAAGCTCCATGTTAGGTTTTTCTGATATGTGACAGTAGAGTATAGTTAGAACTTTGTTTTTGTTGGTTCATTTGGAAAACATTAGTTTTTAGTTTCTTTGTAATTTTTATAGTTATGTTATGTCATTTGTTTAAGATACAAAATATGAGTCTTTATACTTGTAAAAATTTTGAGTTATTTTATTATATTGACTTTATTTAATTTTTATATTTTCATGTGTTATAGTATGAAGGGTAGAAAGTGCCACAAAATTGTTTTATTTTAATTTATATTTATTATATTTTAAATAAAATATATTAAATTTAAAATAATTAAAAATAATCATGTGCCACAATATATATTATTTTATTTATGAAATATAATTATTTCACATGTTAAATATGTATTATATAACTAAGTTTCACAATAAAACATATACAAATAAATAATATATAAATTATATTTAAAATATATTTAAATACATAAATTATATTCTAGATTTATGATAAATAATTTATATTATAATATAAAATTATTTTAATTGTTGATTATTTATTTTTAAAATATTAAAAATTAATTTGTAAATAAATCAACTTCTATATATTAAACGTGAAGATCTATCTTATACGAGAGTGTTTTTAGGAGATTTTTTTCCAACAACAAGATTTATAAGAATTTTTATAACTTCTTATCTAATTTAATTTTTATTTATCATAATAATTTATTAATTAAATATTAATATTTTAAAATAAATTATGAATAGATAACAACTATTTTTTTACAATACAAATTATTTATCATAAATCTAAAATATAATTTATATGTATAAAAATATTTATGTATATTTATTTTAAATATAATTTATATGTTAAAATATAATATTTTTATATATAATTTATTATAAATTTTTTTATGAATTTTAATATTTTAAAAATATTTTTTTAATAAATAAAAATAATCTTGTGTTATATAAACATGAATGACTATTTTGCCTTTCTACAAATTAATGTTACTTAAAAAGATGAGTTATAAACTAATTTTAACTTTTCACAAATTAAGATAAATTATGGTCAAATTAATGTCTCAAGTCAAAGAAAAATGAGATAAGTCATATTTAAAATTTGTATAAATCGTATAAATTATATTTTAAATTTATGATAAAAAATCTTAATAATAATAAATCCAAGATAGTCTTTCATTCTATTTTCCCGCTTAATCTCAAACACATTTTTTCAATACAAAAATTTAGGCACACATCAAGTAATTACAACCAATTATAAATTTAAGTCATATAAATTCATGATGAAAATTATTTGTTAAGGATAATTTACCTCTAAACATTATAAATTCACAATTCTTGAATAATTGATATATTAAAGTTATTCACAAAAAATAAAATATGTGTTAAGTAATCATAACCAATGATAAATTTAAACTATTTAATTGTAATATGTATAAATTCATGTATGTTGCAATATATATTTTTTTCCTAACAAGAGTTGCAAACAATTGTTATCCATCCTTCTTATTCATTTATCCTTTTACCTTTTTGAACTTCATTATCTTCTTTTTTTATATGACTTCTTCTATGTATTTAATATGTAATAATTTTAACATATTGAACATGATTATTTAAGTTGATATTATTTTGATTTCCCTATTTGACTTCCTTATTTAAAATCATCTAACTTTCTTATCTAAAACTATTAATAGAAAAGAATTGTATAGGTTCATGGTGAGATGGGAGACATATTATTTATTTTTAAAATTTTAAATGAATATTAAATATACTATGCATCAAACAAGTAAAACAACTAGTTTATATTATAACATAATATTATTTTTATTTATTGATAATTAAGATAAATAAAAACTAAATTAGATAATAAGTTTAAAAAAAATCTTAAAAGTAAAAATTTTCTTGTCGAAAAAAAGACCCTAAAAACACTCTTATTTGAGATGGAGGTTCGTGTTTATTTAAGAAAAATCCAAACCTCACATTAATTATAAATAAAACAATTAAAGAGTATATAAATGGGAGGTAACCCTCATTTTTCAAGTCAATTTTATAAGGTTGAATTAAACTCTTAATTTACTATCTTAAAATGGTAGCAGAGTTATCTATATTTATTTTAAAAGGGTCATCTATCATTGATACATACATCAAGTCTAATCGTGTTGAATTTGAAGGAGTTTATTGGGAAAAAAACTCAAGTTGCATCTATCCTAGATCATTAAAAGGTCACCTACCATTTATTTACGTACCAAGTCCTATAATACTAGATGTAAGAAAGTGTATTGGAAAAACTTAAGTTTCACATCAATTATAAATAAGATAATTAAATAATATATAAATAAAAGTCAACTCTCACCTTATAAGTTAATTTTGTAAAGTTGGGTTATGCTCTTAACCAACTTTCTTAAGAAAGTTTAATATATAAGAGTTGATTCAAATTTCATCTTATATGACTTACTACCACTCCTACTTTCACTATCACTTTTAATGTCATCATTATTATTATGGTCACCATTACCATTATTGGCAAATAATGCATTTATTGTTATGTTAATAAACTTTATGAAATATTCAACAAAAGACTTTGAAAAAGGAACCAAAATAATACAGATATCAATTCATGAAATTTAAATTTAGAAAATTAAAATCACACAATTGTGATACTCAATTGAATCAAAAAAATATAATTAAAAATTTAATGCTTATACATCATTAATGCAAAAAATTTTACACTGTCAACCAATAAAAAGTCACAATTATCACAACTTTTAAGATAATTATTTTAAAAATCAATTTATGATTAAATAATTATATAAAATTGTTTTACATGAATAATACATAATATTTCATCTCTATAATTAAGTAATATATTAATAGAGTGAAATGATATTTAAATTTAAGAATATTTAATACTTTTGATTTTTTAGAAAATTTTTAAACAATAATTATTTTACATGCATTTAATTTTAGCACAATTTTTGGTGCATTGCATTTTATCAAGTAAAGTGTCCTCTTCATTTTAAAGGACTGAAATGGTTTTAAAATAAGTGAAATATACAGTAATTTCATGTTACAGAAATTCTAAATGCACTTGAGCTTACTTTTTGGAAACAGCATACTTGAACCATAAATTAAGGAACAAGAATATGATCATTTTTCCCGTTTTAACCCAAGAATCTTAAATTGAACGTTGGCATCATCACCATGAAAACGTTGAAGGAAAGGAAAAGAATAATCTGGTGATGGCGAATGGAAACTTAATGGGTTGAAAAAGTTTGGTGGCCCCACGAAGCACGAACCCTTGTAAGTTGTAACATCATCATTGGTGAAAAACGCTCAGAAAGAAACAAAACAAACCAGAATCGAACTGAACCCTACACTGACCCATCATCAACAAGTTACTCTCTCTAGAAACCGCTCCATCCCTAATTAAAGAACTTGGTTACAAATTATTAATGAGGAATCAATGAAACTAAATAAACCAATTAAGAAAATTAAATTACAATACAGCACACAATATGGGTATTGTGGGGAATTGCCAACGATCAACATGTGCTTGCAGATAATTATAATTTCCAACAACATAGGCATTAATGAAATCGCCAACACTTGTACCCATTAATATAATAGACCGCATAAATTGGTAAAAACTAAAAAACTAAAAACCAACGACAATGATGTGGGCCGAACCGAACCAAACCCCAAATGACACCAACAACTTAAACTCCCAAAGTAACCGACAAAAATCTTTGAACTTAATGAATTATCTTAGGTTTCAAACCACCATGTTACTGTGAGTATGTTTTTGGGATCGTATTCAAATTCGGTTATAACCCCATAAAAAATTAACATAACCTTAAGTAGACATATGCTATTTTAGAGGTTAAAAATATACAACTTTAATGAAGAGCAATATTTTTTCATATATATTTTTTTAAAAATTACATGTATATTTTTTTATAGTAAACAATCTTACTTACCATATGAACAAGATTATCATTCCAAAATATTCAATACAACTACATTCATATGATTTGAAAATCTTTAATCTATTAAATTTAAACAACAACTGAGTTAGATCTATTGGTTATAAAATTGGAATTTGGATAAACAAATGTAGAAATAAAAACATATTAAATTTTTATAAAGAATAAAATTGAATTTTGAAATTTATTTTTCAAAGAATAAAAATATATTTGAGCCTTTTTAATGATCTTTCTCTCTCCTAGGAGTACCCGTTTCAAGATTCCTTTAAATGAGGCTCCATTCAAAGCCTAAAACAGGAATTGGAAAATTAGAAAAATCACTAAGCACGTTTTTTTGTACAGTGATGAATGAAAGAGTAGAGATTGCAGAGATAGCACAATTCCCACTTCCATTGAAATCTGGCGTAATTCAAGAGTGAGGGAGAAAAGTGTGAAGGGATCCACCAATTTGTTCCTCAACCGGGTTTCTTTGGCGTTGATTGAACTCTGTATATAGCTGGCTTTCGACCATACCCCAACATGCCATCACGGTAATGCGCTTCTCACGCTTCTCTGCTTATTCTTTCTCGTTTTTCTCCCCTCTCTAATCTTCCCTCGCCGAGAAAAAAAAAACTTTTGATTTGTTCAAAAGTCAAAACTTTATGGTCTTTGAACGGTACGAGCTTTGTTGGTTTTGTGGGGAGCTGATTTTCCCTCGTTATTTGATGTGATCTCGAGCTTGCTTTGGTGTTTTGATCTGTTGTTTGAGATGGGTTGTGATTAGTTCTCCCAATAAAGAAGGAAGGGTGCCCCATGTAATAGATAAATTAGAATAGTGTGACACGTTTCTTTTGATTTGGTTTTGCCGTGAAAAAGTGAGGTTTTTGATGCGTATGAGGTGTTTGTGAGATTTGATTATGTGTGAAGGAACGCAAGTACTGAGAATCTAAACTTGATTGGGAGAGAGCAGAGGAAAAACCATGCAGTCTAGGTTGGAGGAAGGGAAGGACCCTGCTGCGTTGAGAACTACTCCTTCTAGGCCCTTCCCTTTGAGACTTCTTCAGTTCTTTGTGCTCTTTTTGGTTATTGGTATTGGTGCTTCGCTTCTTAGCATGTACATGATTAGGCATTTTGGTATTCATAATGTGGGTTTGGTACAGTCTGCGTTTAAGCCTTGCTTTGAGCAGCCGGTAACCATAGAAAGTTGGATTAGGCCTCCATCCAGTTTGAGGCATGCCATGAATGACACTGAACTCTTCTGGCGTGCTTCTTTTGTTCCAAGGACAAATGGTTATCCTTTTAAAAGAACTCCCAAGATTGCCTTCATGTTCTTGACCAAGGGACCCTTGCCAATGGCACCACTATGGGAGAAGTTCTTCAAAGGGCATGAGAAGCTTTATTCTATTTATGTTCATTCGCTGCCGTCTTATAATGCTGACTTTCCACCATCATCAGTTTTTTACAGGAGACAAATTCCAAGCCAGGTATAATCTAGCTTTATTCTATGTGAATTTGTATTTAAATTTCGCATGATGTTAGGTGCTATATTTCGCATGATGATGAAAGTAGCATTATCTATATGGATTTCCATGTTTTCAATTGTTCATTGGCATGTTTTCATCCAAATCTAAATTCTATATTTTGAGCCATAGGCCATAGCTATGCCATTTATTTATTGGTGTTTAAACCCATCCACCCTTATTTATAATGAAGTTTTATGATGGGTGCTAATTTATTATGGTCATATTAAATGATGGTCAGATCCCATTCCTTTGTGTCATATATGGTCAGTATGAAACAAATCTCAATGTAAGAGGCCTATAAGCCCCTTTTGCTATCATACCTGTTTATGTTGAACAAATGTTTTATGTGTTCAATTACAAGGTTTAAGAGAGAAAGGAGAAGAGAAAAAGATAATAACCTTGAATTATGAAAATAATTTGATGCAATGATCTTATTCAAAAGATTAAGGCCCTAACCCTTATTTATACTAATTAATAGACTCCTTATTCTCATTAAATATGGAAAAAATCAAGATAATCGCTAAGAAATTTGTCGTGCTACGACATTGGTTTGGTTCATCACTAAGAAAAAATCGCGCATGTGATCATTGACAGAAGAGATGAAACACATCAGTAAATGCACAGTGTATATAAAAAACTAATTACTAAAGAAGAACGTTGATGTTAGGAACCATAGGAGATGTAATGGTGGTTGTGAAGAGTGTGTGTTGGAAATCTCATATTGACTAATGAAATAATCATAATAACATAAATAAGTGGGAAATAATCCTCACCTTATAAGTCAGTTTTGTAGAATTGAGTTAAGCTCGAAACTCACATTGTAAAAGTGACAAACAACAAGGAACAAAGAGAAGGATTTGAAGCGGAAATTTTTTTTGTTACAATACAGTACCAAATGGAAACTTGACAATGGAATAATGAATGACAAGTTGGAGAGTGAAACTCTCACTCTTCCCATTCTGACAATGAGAGATTCTCAATATTCATTCTCTAGACGCATACTAGCCAAAAAAAATCCCTTCTTAACTGCTCAAATTACCCTCCTTTTATATTTATCTATATAATTGATAATTGATCTTCTAAACTGCCTATCCTTTTCAATCTATTTTTTTTTATCTCTATATTTAAATTAAAGTTCAATAGTTTACTTATCTATTTTTAATTTTCTCAGTTAAAAATATCTTTATACCACAATTTAAATTATACATTATAAATCCAAAATATAAAATTATATATTTAAGGATATTTTTTTTATTATGAATTTTGATTATAATTTATATATTCAAAAATATTTATTTATTATAAATTTTAATTGTATAAAATTAAATATTTATCATGAGTAATGCATGTACTATTATACTAATTATGAATATGATTTGATACAACGATCTTGTTCAGAATACTAAGACACTAACCCTTATTTATATTAGTTAATATACTCCTAATTGTACTTAAATAAGAAGTAAATCATGATAGTTACTGAGAAATATGTAAATTAATCCTAGGAGATATTTTAGGATATGAAAATAATCCTAAAGGTTTAGTCTAAGAACATGTTTTCTCTGCATGCTTTCCCAAAGAAGACAATTGATGTATCTTAGTCCTCTAGTGTTTTGACCTCATCTTCAGCCATGATTGCTCATGTTGGTAATTCTACAATTTGTTTCTCTCAATCTTTGGTTGTTGGTCCCTATATTTTGGTGCTTCTAATCATATAGCTATTAAACCCCTTCTTTTGTAAAAAAATATCTCCTAAAAATCCTCATCACATTATTCTTGCATATGGTTCCAAAATAAAGTCATTGGTACTGGACAAGCCATTCCTTTCCCCCATCTTTTGTCCCTAGATTCTGCCTTTTTGGTTTTTGGTATTCTTTTCAATTTGATTATTTTCAGTCGTCTTACTACTACTCTCAATTGCTCCATAACTTTTACTACTAACTCTTATCATACATGGCTAAAGTATAGGAACGGCAATTAGTGCAGGATATATGTGACATTGAATTTATTATCTTCATTCTTCACCCTACAAGTTGATCCATATAACGCCCCCAAACAAGGTTGGGTTGGGTTACACTTTTTTAACCTTTCAATCTACATAACCCAACCTGTATAACCCACCAACCCGACGGGTTAAATGACGACTTGGGTTGGGTTGGCAATGGCTCGTTGGTTTAACCCATTGGGTTGACCTATTTTTTCTTTGACTTTTACCCATTGACATTGATTTATGGTTCTATTTGTGTTCACTTATTTTAATGTTATAGATGGATTTATTAAGTACATATCCCATTGAACATTTAAAAAGAAATTAAGACAAATAGAAAAAAATACTTTTTATATATTTTTTTAATTGTTTGACGGATCAACCCAATCCAATCCATCACTGGATGGATTTGGTTGAGATTTTTAACTCAATGAAAAAATGGGTCCAATCCAACCCAACTTGTTTATCAGCAGGTTGAGGGTGTGTTGGGTTAGCCTTTTTGACACTCTTACCATGTATTTGGTCTTGTAGATCTTGTAATATTCTTTCCCTTATTATAGGAAGC